ATCAGCTAAGCTCCGAGCAGGGCCGCAGTCAGGATGTCCCGCGTGTTCTGCAGCAGCCTGCCAGGAGCGCCAGGAGAGGGGTTTAGGGTTTAGGGCTGAGAAGCCCTAAACCCTAAACCCTAAACCCTAAACCCTAAACCCTAAACCCTAAACCCTAAACCCTAAACCCTAGTCTAGAGGAGAATTGAGCTTGGGGTCCGAGGAGTGGGAGAGCCGCGGCGCCTTGAGGAGGCATCTGCAATTGCAGTCGAGCCTCGCGCGGGCCCAAGGGGTACCCAGGGAGCCAGAGAGTCCTAAACTATAGGGTTTAGGGTTTAGGGTTTGGGGTTTAGGGCTGTCCTAAACTAGGGTTTAGGGTTTAGGGTTTAGGGCTTGGGGTCTAGGGTCCTAAACTAGGGTTCAGGGTTTAGGAGCTTAGGGGTTAGGGTTGAGGGCTTAGGGTAAGGGGTTTAGGGCTTGGGTGCAGGGTGTAGGGTTTGTAGGGTCACTAAGGAGTAAAGGGGTTTAGAGTTGAGGGTTTATAGGGCAATTAAGGAGTATACCTTGGTTCAGAGTAAGGATTTTGATATTGTTCAATGTGGTGTTCCTTAATTAAGGGTGTTGGGCTCTTTGGGCAAAGTGTCCAATGCCGATCGAGAACCAGGAGCGGGAAAAGGTGCGAAGGCCTGCGTAGCAGGCGTTGCGAATGTCCCACATGACGATTCCTGGCAAGGCCACCCTACAGTACCTGGAGGTTCATGGGTACTTATAAGTAGGGAGATGAGTACCCTAAGAAGGGTTATAGGTATAGCTACCATACTTATAACCCTGCTTATAACTACCCATGAACCTCCAAGCAAGCAACCTCAAACCTCAACCCTTAACCCAGCATCAAGCACTTGCAACATGCTGGGCTTGGACATGTCTCTGCGATCCGAGGCCCCTGTAAGCTCTAAAGCACAAACCCGCCACACAAAAGAGGTCTGTGCATCAGCTGGCTTTGATGCAACTTGAAGAAGTAGGACCCCCCCCCCCCCCCCCCCCCCGTCAAAAAAAACATCCCTCATGTGAACAACAAACCCCCGCAAAGGATCGTGAGCACCCTGCTAACCCTAAAGCTGTGAACCCCGAGCCCAACTACGCAGCCCTTAACGCGCTCTTCGGCCCGAATAGAGTAAACAGGCTGGGTCAGCTCCAGCGACGTCGGGTGGCTCCAGGTGTTCTGGAAAGACATCGCCGAAGGAATACGACGATCTGCCAGTAAACGGCGAGGGTCTTCAAAAACCAGGACTCCCCTGCTTAGGAATGTACACTTAGACTACATTATCTAAGAAAAACCTAACCTAGGGGTACAGGGATCTCCGGATACCCTCAGCTACGCAAAAACCCTCAACCCTAAACCCTAACCCCCACTAAGGCCTTGTTAAGGCTCACTGGCGGAGCTTTGTGCGCGACAACATCCAAACCAAATTATCGGAGAAGTGGCTTAGGCTTTAGGATTACACGATCTTAGAGTTTAGGGTCGAGGGTACCACGAGCATCACGAGCATCGGCCGCAACGAAGCCGCAGAGTACGCGTTTGGACTTGAGCTTCGGGTTCAAGGCCTAGCTAGGGTCCATGATCAGGGATGACAGCTGCCAAAAATCGTACACCCCAAACCCTAAACCCTAAACACTAAACCCTACACCCACACGCTAAACCTCTGCTACTAACAAGATTCCGGCGCGCCCGCAGCCGCGAAGCGCCAGCGCAAAACTTTGCCATGGCCTCGGCTTGCAAGAATCGCCTCCTGTGGGGGCTAAGAGCTCCCTACAACTTGACGCCCGCTCTTAAGGTCCTTGATGTCACGGGCGGTTTTGAACCACGGAAGGTAAAGAAAACACCATTCATGTATGGGCTCACGGTTCGAGGTTTCAGGCTCAGACCATCTCAAGAGAGACCCAAGAATGTCGCAAAAGGGTGTTCAGAGTTTAGGAATATTTTTACCCCACAGACCCAAAAACCCTGAACGATAAACCTTAAGCCATAAAGACCATCTTCAACAACCCACTGCAAGCGATCAGTCTTCATCTCTGCAACTCCAAAACCCAGAAACCCCCAAGCCCGACCCACGGGCCTAAACCCTCAACCCTAAGCCACAAGGGCTCCGACTTCTGTCAAGTGAAGGAAGCAAAAGAATGAAAGAGCCTGGCCAAGATTTGGGGGAGCTGGAGGGGAAACACTGGAGCCCTACAGGGCGTATGCACCCCTCCACCCCGAAGCCCTAAAATCCCTGAACCCTAAATGAGGGATCCTCGTGCTTTGGGGCTTCCTGGTGCTTTGGATGGACTTTTGGCTTAGGGGTTAGGGCTTAGGGATTTGGGTGTGTTTTTGGGATGGGTGGCCGGGTGCCAGGAGATGACGGCAAAAAGCCCTTGAGATCACGCTTGTGCTCTTGAGCTTGTGGGAGGTTTTAGAGGGCGTTCAACTCCGAGACCCTGAGCCCCGAGGCAGCGCAACCGAACTCTTGCTAGGGTACGTTTCCTTTCTACTGCGTAGCATGATTTAAGAGCCAGAACTCAAACAGCGCCGCCGACTAGAGGAAGTACCTTGATGAGAACCACTACCTTGCAGGGTTCAGGGTTCGACTATGTCACGGTGTTGCAACCATTCTATAAAGTTTGTACCTTCATTTTGATAAGGGCCCCCCACCCCCCACCCCCCCCCCCAACCAAGCCAAAAAAGAAAACACTACTCACTACACCATTCAGGCCCTAAACTCTAAACCATAAGCCCTATATAAATCCAAAACCTATGGGGAAAGGACCCGGAATTCCGCATGTCTCCCTCGAAGACATGCCAACACGGCCGCAGCAAGGGCGAAGGTTATGTACAGCCCTGCCGTGTTTGGCAGGATGCCTGAGGGGCGAAGAGGATTCCGGACATGTGGGACTTGTTGGTTGAGGTTGTCAGGGGGAAAGGTTTACGCTCTTTGGGCTTTACTTGGGGGGAGGGGGGGGGGGTTGGGCTTTGTGGTATCCAAGCAAGTCCGAAGCCGATCCCGGCTGGACAGGGAGGCAGTGAAGATTCTGCGCCAAGGGGCGATGGCTTCAGCAAAGGCAGCAGGCGAAATACGGGTTCCAAGCAAGTTGAAGGCTAACCGACTCAGCACCATACGGGAATTCAGGGTGTGTGGTTTCTTGTCGCAGGCCTCAGTTTTGTGAGTTCTATTGTCTATGGGGGTTGGCGAACGCTGGGAAAATTCCATTGGCTGGAGTGGGGGGGGGGAGAGGAATTGGGCAGCCTTAAACCCTGTAATTATAGGTTGGGATGCTCCCCCTTATACAAACAGTCCTTAATAGGGATTATAGCACCCCCCTGTTCTAATCACTATGACAGGACTGTCAGTATAAGGGGAACATCCCAATGTCTAGGCTTCGCCTCTGTCTGCAACTGCTTTTGGCTTCCAGTGGATGTCGAAGTTGTCGTTCACGCAGTAGTCCCAGGCAGGCTCGGAGCCTGGCACATGTTGGAGCTTCGGGGGCCCTAAGCCCCAAGCTCTAAGCCCTAGCCCTAGTCCCAAAGCTCTAAACCCCAAAAGAAAGCCCAGTTCAGGAATGCTCCATTTCGACCACATAGGGATTTTTGATGATTTCTGGATTGAAGGCCAAACCTAAATTTATAAACCCCACATTTGCCGTTTACAGCCCATTTTCTTATAAACCGTAATCAGCCCTGACCTTTCCCAAAGGGCTCCTTCAGGCTAGAGTAGGGAAAAGCAGCTTAACTTTTGTGTTTGTACAGGAGTTGTAGTACACCAAAAAAGTCAAAAGTCGCCTACTCAGCTCCTGCATCCTGAACCCTGAACCCTAAACCCTAAACCCTAAACCCTGAAGCCTGAAGCCCTGAAGCCCTGAAGCCCTGAAGCCCTGAAGCCCTGAAGCCCTGAAGCCCTGAAACCCTGAAACCCTGAACCACACTCAGATAAGCAAGCAGGGAGAGCCCCAGAAGTCGCGGGCAGACAAAGGGCAGGACTGTGGCTCTACCTGGCCGTGGAGGATGGTTAGGGTTTAGGGTTTAGGGTTTAGGGTTTAGGGTTCAGGGTTTAGGGTTTAGGGTTTAGGGTTTAGGGTTTAGGGTTTAGGGTTTAGGGTTTAGGGTTCAGGGTTCAGGGTTCAGGGTGTGGGGTTTAGGGTTTAGGGTTTATGGGTTTTTAAGGCTTAAGGCGGTCCAATTTCGAATGCTTTTTGAGTTTCCAGCCGATACAGTCGCACTATAGTTGATATAGTCGTGGAGCTTGGGGCTTAGGGGTTTAAGATAGTTTAAGGCGTCGACGCTCCTGGACTCCTAGACGGTTGATTTCAAGTGTGAAGGGTTTTGTGTTGTGTTTAGGACTCCTGGCTTGCTGCCTGCCTTGGAGGTCGCAGAAAGGCCCAGCCCGAGACATCGCAATTCGACGTGGGGTCTAAGGTTTTGGGTTTAGAGCTCACGCTGTGGCGTTAACCCTGCATGAAGCCTACTATGCCAGCGCAGACCCCATGCAAGACCTCCCCTCGCACATCGCAAGTGCCACTATGTGTCACTGAGGTTCAAGTGCTGCACCTTGCAAGGAACATGTCATGTCCACGGGTGTGGCCGGAGCATCTCGCGAATCTGCGCGGAGCGTGCGCCCGGGAATGTGGCGGGCACGGTCCAAGGCAGGACTGAGGTGAGCACTCGATTTTGGAACAGAAATCAAAGAACCAGGACATCCGCAATTTGGTGACACCAAGGGATTCATGCGCAAAAACGTGGGGGAGAGACTGTTGCTGGAGCACAGCTCACGAAATGCACAGGGAACTTCGGTGAGACCGCACATGCGGCAAGGCACAGAAAACACAAACCCAGCAACGCCTACTATAGGGGTCGGAATAATTTCCACTAATGGAATTCCATTGTGGTCACGATATAGTTATACTATACGAAGCCCAAAACCCTACTCTAATTATTCAGGCCCCTATCCTATGCGAGGGCCTGCCTTCGACCGAGAGAAAAACCCACGCTACGCCTGGGCGAAAGTTGTGAGCAGCGACCAATACCTCTTTGACTCCTCTTTGACTCTGAACGCAAGAACCCCTGCCTTGGGGAATAAGCCGTGTACAGCCACTAAAAACCTCAAGCTCAAAACCTACAGAAGCCACCCCGCCTCACTTTGGGGTTCCTACGAGAAGCTCGAAAGATGTCGGTTGTAGTCTAGCTTGAACTCCCCTAAGCCGCGAAGCCCTAAACCTTCAAACCCCACAACCCTGAACCCTCAAACCCCAAACCCCTCTATTGCGTACCAGACCATGGTCCTTTTGCTGTTTTCTCTTCTGGCCTTAGTGGGAGTTGCTGGCCCGGCCTCGCACCAATCGTAGGCTTCAGTGTTGGCCTTGCAGCCATACCACTCCTTCGTGAGGTTTCGCGAGCTGCGGTTTAGGGTGCATTTTTTTTCTAACCCTAAACCCCGAAACCCTGAAACCCCGAAGCCCTGGACCCGAACCTTGGCCGACAGCTTGAAACCAGTCTCAGCATGCTCTTCTACAAGATCCTTCTTGAAGTCCAATCAGAGGGACACTTCGAAGAGAACCCCAAAATCCTGAGGGTTTGGGGCCTATCATGGGTTCCCCTACTACCCCCCTCTATACTACCACCCCCCCCCCCCCCCCCCCCCGAGGCTATTCAGGGGAACCCATGAGCTTAGGGTTTCGGCCAGCGAGCCTTGCAGTCTGTCCCGAGCCAGCCATCACACCTGACCTGAGCCCGAGAAAGGTCTGGCCACATTGGCCGAGGTCTGCTTTCAATAAGGAACTTTATGGTACAGGGTTTCGTGGGCTTTAAGGCTCAAGAGGGCGGTTGGGGGGGGTGGGGGGCGAAAACAGTGAATTGACCTTTAGGTCTACAAGCCTACAGGGGTTCCCCGAAAATTTGTTTCTGATTCCGCTTTCAAGTGAGCAGTTTGTGCGGGTCTTCTAAGTCATACTACCCTAATTGCTACTAACCCCTGAATTCTAAACTTTAAACTCTACGTACGAAAGAGGGATTGGGATCGTGAGCTCGTGTGGACCTGTGGCTGGTCGACGCCGTGGAGCAAACCATGGGTATCCACATCTGCCCCAAATGGCTTCATTCAGGACTTTGGAATGAAAAGCGCACTACCCTGAACCCTACAACCGTACATAAAGCCTACGCTAAGGAACCTTCCCCAACGAAGCTGCCTTGGAAGATCTTGGGACCTGCCTCGCCAGAGACTCCAAGACCCTTTAGTTACGGCATTTTTCCTTAAGCCATATAAGGAACCCTATTGTAAGTTAAAACCCTTTTATCATTTAAGGAATACTCCTTAATCAAGGGGTATTGGAGTCCCCTGGGTCACCGAGAGCGAGGCCCAATGCGGCTTGCAGCGGCACTTCAGGGAGGTCTGAAACTGCTCGCAGCCGTCAGACATGCTCCAGCGCCCTGCAGTGATAATGGGGCTTCCGAAACTAGGGGTACCTTATTCGGGTCCTGATTATAAGGGAATCCTGCTTGGGGGTCCACTACAGGGGTCCCTTTTGTTCGTAAACTCCCTTTGGCGGTTGAGGGCTACTTTGGTTTGCGATGAGTTCTCCTTAAGTGCAAGTAAGCCAACGTAAGTAAGTAAGTGTGCTGTACAGCTCTTCATGTCAATGTGCAGAGATGCATTTATAGAAGCGTGCGCAAGGCAACGCAGTTCTGGAGCAATGGCATGGTGGCTTCAGGCCAACAGAGGACCTGACTCTTGACGAGATGCAGGAACAACTGGCGCAACAAAGACAATCCGACTATACTATAGTTCTTGCAAGGGTGACGATGAACACATGCTGGATATTCGGACGTAAGCAATAGCAACAACCAACTCAGGAGTAGATCAAAAAAACACAACAGACACCAAGGCAGATTGCCGAAAGTGTGAACGATGAAAGACATCAAGAAGACACAGAGCGGATGGCAAATGACGATTCCAACTTAGGATGTTCCCCTTTATACTAACAGTCCTTCATCGGGATTATAGTACCCTCCCTTATATTCCCTGTTAAGGGCTGCTAGTTTAAGGGGTACTCTCATTTTTCAAGGATATCAGTGTACAGAATATAGAATGTTGGCCCGGGGGGGGGGGGGGGGGGGGGGGGGGGGGGGGGCAATTTCTTCGGGTTTTTTCCACAGCTATCGTTTTTTGGAGTACGACGATGCAACGGGGTTCTAGAGTTGCTGCTCGGTTAAAAATCTGGGACCCGGAGTACGTAGGCCCTTGTTTGCTTTATTTAGGGTTGGGGTTCCCCGATAATCCCCTTGAAACCAAAAACGGTGCCCCGTTTATTCCTAGGTTACTCCTGGGTCTAAAAATGAGCAACATTGGTGCATGTTTTGTCGCCGCCTCCTTCGTGGCACAAAGCGACCGGCCGGCCGCGATAGCCAGGCGAGCATGTGAAATGAACCTCAGGTTGGCGGTTGGCAGGGATAGTGGGTTTAGTAGGGTTTAGGGCTTGGGGCTTGGGATTCGGGGTTTAGGGTTTGAACAGTTGGGGTTAATGGAGAGTACGGGCTTCTGGGTTTGGGGTGCAGGGTTCTGGCTCTCTGGGGTTCGTGGGGCCTGTCGGTTTGTTTATCACGAAAATAACACCAGTACACACAGACTTGGCGACTAAGTGTGCATAAAAGTGGGCGCGCAACCCATCGTACGATACTCCATAGACTTTAGGTTTTGGGGGTTCGGGATGTAGGGTTTAGGGGTTTTAGGTTTAGGAGGAAATAGGGGGCTTTCCATCCAAGGTAAACCCTGAACCAGCCCTATAAGGCCTACGAGGCCTACATAGTATAAGTCCGATAAGCCCCGCCAAGCCCTGTAAACACTATACGCCCAAACCCCTCCATCCTCACCCGTCGTTGCTGGCGGTCGGCAGTTTCGCCCACGTAGCTCCGGTCGAGGTCGTGGCTGCCGGTCTGCCACAGTCACAAGGGGCGGGAGGGATCAAAAGCCGGCATGGCGTGAATTGAAAGAAAGTTAATTACAAAGTTTAGGTTTAGGGGTTTATGGTTGAGGGTTCCAGGGCCACTTTTGGGGTTTAGGGCTTTAGGCCTTTTGGCCTTGCGTAGGGCTTCTCGGGTTTACGGTCTAGGCTGTTGGATGTGGGATCGACAGGCGCAGATAGTTGCTGTCCTACGCCCATCCGTGCCCTGAGCAATACACCTTCACAAAAACCTACCATGGCTTGGGGTCTAAGGTTTAGGGCTTGTGAAAACTCCCGGAACCAAACAAAATCACCCTCCCTCAGCCCACCTTAAACCCTCATCTCCGAAGTTTCCCAGAGAGCCCCCCCTAAACCCTAAAGCCTAAACCCCAAACCCCAAACCCCAAGCCCTCAAATCCCTTGCGCTCGGGAGTTGCTCAGCTCAGGGCCATGGTCATGGCTTCCCGCCTCTCATCAAGGACCCCCTACTTGGAGGCCCATGCGCGGTTTAGGGTTTAGGGTTTAGGGTTTCGGGTTTAGGGTTTAGGGTAATCGACATGGGGTTTACGATATTGACCCAAAAGCACAAGCAACCCCCCCCAACCCCCCCAAACCCGAAAAATCCTTGGGGTCCTCGACCCATGTCGGCCAAAAACGTACTACATTTGCGTTGTATGAACTCTGGGCTTTAGGGCTTCTGATTCTGTCAGCCCTAGCGGGGCAAGAACACAGTTATTTAGGGTTTTCAGACTTTGAAAGGGCAGCTTTGAGGCGCTGTTGAGCGGGGAATCTGAATCCTAGACCCCCCGAACCTAGCAACATGGCAGGGCTCCCTTTTTTGTATTGGGTTTAGGGTTTAGGGTTTAGGGTTCAGGGTTCAGGGTTGGTAGTCTTACAAGGGGCCTAGGACACGTCAAAAAGGGAGAGGGGCCTCACTGGGAGATCTCGAAGATGCAGGTATACCCCAATCTTCATTGACTCGTCCCTTTGGAGCATGGGTAGTTCACTAAATTGGGGTCCCTTTCTTGGGGTCCGTATTTTAAGGGTGAAGTATTCTTTATCTTAAGGGTGCTGTCTTCTATGGGGGACCCCAAAAAAGGGATCCTAATTTGGAGAACTACGAGTACCCACATATGTGTCACTTACTTCTGACAGCTTGAACCTCAAGGTTAGATTGTTCAGCGTGGAATGCCCAGTCAACCACCTTGTTGTGTGCGGGGGGGGGGGGGGGGGGGTGGCCGATCTAGTAGACACCAGATGCCCTAAGCCCGAGAGAAACGCCCTGTAGCTTTTGAAAATGACGATTTGCCATAAATAAATAAATAATCAAATAAATAAATAAACAAATAAAAAAATAAACAAATAAATAAATAAGTAAATAATATATATATATATATACATATATTTGTTTATTTATTTCTGTACCCAAACCAGATGATCTGAGCCCAGCGCCAGTCATCAGAATCTCCCCAATCGAAAGACCTTTGCAACTGTATACGGACAGTCCTAGACTAGTCTAGACCCTAAGCTACGCCCTACAGAACGTGCTTTAAACATGGCTGTTGTGGTGCTTCGCGCGGCCTTTTCATCTTTGGCTCGTCAACTACCGAGTGCAGCCGTTTAGGGTGCAGGGTGTAGAGATGTGGTTTCGGGTGCTTAGCAGAATCGGGAAGACTTGTCAGGATATCAAAAAAGGGAAGACCCTCTATAAGGCTTTAATGGGGATTACTTATCACACCGAGACTTCGAAACAAAAGGAAACATAGGCGGAAACCAGGGTACCCTGGGCATCCTAAAAGCAACCTGAGGCCTGGGCTGAAGAAATTCCTCAAGGGCGCCGCAGCCTACGAGGGAACACCTCAGCAGGAAGGAGGAACGCCAAGGTTCAGGGCCTAGGGTTTCGGGCGGAAGGTTTTTTGTCTAGGGTTTAAGGTTTAGGGTTTAAGGTGTTGTTTAGGGTTTAAGGTTAGGGTTTGGGGACCTGATAGGGTTTCGGACTATTTCGGAAGCGCTTATTCCCTAAAGCCCCAACCCCAACTCGCAATGCTGAATGCCATGCACTCCCACATCTTTCTAACACTTCCGAACATGATTCCGCAGGATCACATTACATTGATGTAGTCCCCCGACAATGTATAAGTTTCCGGGTCCTCCGAAAACACGGCGAAGGCGGCAATCTAAAACTAATCCTACACCAGGAAGCTGCATGTGTGGGGATTCCGAAATCAGGGGTACCTTATTGGGCTCCTTATTCTAAGGGAATCCTACTATTTGTGGGTCTATATTCGGGCTCCCTTATTTTCGTAAAGTGTCCATGTCGACCGTAGCTCCCAAAGGGCCTCCCCGGAGGAGTCCAATTACATCAAGGGACTAAGGGAGGGACCCTTATAAGGGATCTTATTAGGGTTTGGTTAGGGGGTTATAAGGGGCCTTAGGTATAGAGGGGCTATATAAGGTACACACATATATGTATGTATATAGGGGTTAATTTTGGGGAATAAGATATAGGGTCCCTTCTAGGGGTCCATCCTTATACCCCCTTAATCTCATCAGGAGATGTAAGGTGAAACCCTGCCGTGGGGGCCTTTGGCTGGCGTCGAACTTCCAGGCACCGTCGTTGCCACAAGTGGCAAACCTGGGTCGTGTACTTGGAGGTTGATGGGTAGTTATAAGTAGGGTTATAAGTGTGGTAACTAGGACCTACAACCCCTCCTTAGGGTACTTATAACCCTACTTATAAGTACCCAATGAGCCTAAAAGTATCCCCGAGACCTAAACCCTAAGGGTCTTATGGGGGCTAAACCCTAAACCATAAACTTGGGATGTTCCCCCTTATGCTAACAGTCCTTAATAGGGATTATAATAGGGGGTACTATCATGCCTATTAAGGGTATTCTGGGGGCTACACCCTAAACCCTATAAAACCCATTTGTGGTTCCTTTACTATCCTTATGCGGAGTTCGGGGTTCAGGGGGTCGCACGACAGCGGGGCGACTTGTAATTCACTCTGGAAGAAAAAGGAAAACCCTAACTAAACCCTAACTCGTGAGAAACGCCTCTCCTGAAACAACAAAAACCTCAAATCCACCCAAAAAATCATCCTTACAAAGCTGTACACCATCCTGAGTGGTCCACGCTTGGCCAGCATATCCTTAGCTGATTTGTGGCTCGGCCCCAAAAACAGCGACCCACAACTTCCAAGAGACAGAAAACTTTGGGATGTTCCCCTTTATACTAACAGTCCTTAATAGGGACTATGATAGGGGGTACTATACTGTAGTCGCCATTAAGGACGGGTAGAATTATTGGGGACATCCCAAAGAATAGGGTGAGAGTACGTAATTCTGTAAATTAAGGTCCTTCTTGGGCCCCTGAAATAGTGCGGCACCCTTCACAGAAGGACACTCAAACGGGACCCTAATTTGGAGAACTACCTGTTTAGGCTCGAGGACGAACGGTTTAGGGCTACGGGTTTACCGTGTAGGGCTAAAATACTCTAAGTCAAGGACTGGTCCGTTCTCATCCTTTGAATTTTGTTAAGGCCCCTTTCTCATTTGAGGCTTCCTGGATCAGATGAGGGTTCCCACTACATGTTGAAGAGGTCATAGTCCGTAAACCATGTTAGGATCCCTTCTGAGTATTTTGAGGAATTCGTAGTCCGCAAATCATGCTAGGAAAGCTGCGATAAGTTTGCCAGAATTCCTTAATGAGGGCATGGTTGCACATCGTAGAGACTACCCTAAAACACTTCGGGCACCCGCACAATGAAGAAGCTTAAGAACCGACTGGAATCCAGAGAACCTATAGTCCGTCTAACTTGTTCAGCCTGCCAGCTGACAGATTGACGTTTTGGGGGGATTTTAGGTTTACAGTTTATGAGTTAGAGACAACCCGTAAATGCTATACTAAATCCCAGTATCCTCGGTCGCAGCTGTATCTCACTGTCATGCCCGTCGTCCAGCCCTTCTTCGCCTGCGCCACCCAGACAGAGTCCAAAACTCGTGAGTAGGGTTGTGGCCAAAACTGATGACCCTCTGCGAAATTAGCGGCATCACAAAGCCTCAAGAATAATCTTAACCATTGGAGGGCCTACCCACCCGCCACCCTGGCTCCTAGTTGTAGGGCCCCTAAACCCAACTTGATGTTCTGGAACTCTCTTGAACCCCTGCGGGCTTCGTGGTGAGCTAGGTGCTACCTGACTTTGCGCAGAGTTCAGGGTCAGCCTGAAGGCAGTAGGGCAGCTCGTCATCTGAGAATGAGTACATCCCTGCCGCCACCAAGAGATATGTGGCCTGCTGCTCCTCAATCACCGGAATGGCATGCTCCACCTCGCGGCCAATAGACCCTAATCCCTAAACCCTGAACCCAATGGGGCTGAGGGCCCATAGACTGAACCCCCCAAACCTAGAATGTTAAGCCCTCAACCCCTAAAAAAGTTAAATCAGGCTCAGGGCAACCAACCGCAGACCCCCAAACCACAAACCTTACTAAGCCCTGAACCTTGGGATGTGTCCCTTCATAGCAGTCCTTAATATTTATAATCCTAATTAAGGACTGTTAGTATTAGGGGACACATCCCAACCTAAATCCCTAAACCACTAAACCCCCACACCCAAAATCCTAAACCCTCGCCCAAGCCCCCTAACCCTAGTCCTTCCCCAACCTCCAAATCCCAATCCCATTACCTCACTGACCAAAATACGGAAGCCTAAGCCTAAGCCTAAGCCTCAGCCTACTAAGCCTAAGCCGAAGTCTACTAAGCCTAAGCCAAGCCGAAGCCGAAGCCTGGGCCGAAGCCTAACACCGCTGATGGGTTTCGAGGGCACGATTTGAGTTTTGCCATGCAAAGAACACGGTGTCACGTACTACGGGTGTCTAGATTTTCGTGTCTCTAGGGCTTGGCTTGGGTCTTCGACCCTGAGAATCAGCTTTGCAAAAACAATTTCAACTGCGACATTTCAACTTTTTGACAAATTTTTACAAACTCGCCATGGCCCACTGTCTACTCGAAGAGTGTGCCCTCTCATCAAAGAACCTGTGATATTCATGCACACGCGTTCGAATCTGTTGAGTTCACTGTAGGGTTGCAGTCAAAATGCATTTGCCTTGCTCGTAATTACACCTTAGCATGATAAGTTCGAACAAAGTCGTCGTGTACAAGCCTTTGGAGCAAGTCTCAGGTCTTGGGCTAAAGCTTAGGGCTTGTGGCCTCACACCGCATGAAGGAGCCTGCTTTACCTCACAAGCAAGAAGATGCAAAAAAAACATTCAAAGGGCATCTTGGTCCTTTTTTGGGTACCCTTCGACCCTGAACGTGAAGCATCACCCTCAGGCGGAAAACATCCGGAAAAGAAGGATGGTTCATGACTTCACCTTCAGAGCCCAAACCCTCATCTTCGTAGCTTATGATTACGAACCCCCTTGTCAGATTCTTGTGTAGCCTGAGTTCTCAAGGTCAACCATAAGCCCCTGAACCCTAAACCGTAAACTCACCCCACTTCGGCTTTATGGCCCTTCACACGCAGTTAGCCTTCTGCGGTGCTCCGCATCCGACGAGCTCGCACATCCCCTGCCTGGGCCCCGAAACCCTAGAGCCTTAATGAACCCTAAACCCTAAACCCTAAACTGCAACCCGTTGAAAGCGGGAAGTCGACGGGGGGGAAAAACGGCCTAGCGTTCGGGGCTTGCAGGCTTTTGGGGGGTAGCCTTTAGAAAGGGTTTGTAGGACCCAAAGAGGGTGTAGGTTGGCCAGGCTACCCAGAGAGATGAATTAATACATCCCTTAACTAAGGAAGAACACCCTTCAACAATGTATTCCTAAACCCTACGCCCTAAACACTACGTAACCCTAAACTCTAAACCCTAAACCCTAAGGGATCCTTAAGCCTTGAACTCTTAACCCTAACTACTCAGCACCAAATTGTGAGGCTAAGCTTCCGGACACATCGTAGGTTCCTTGTGCGGTGCAAGAGATCTGAGGACGCCCTCTGTACCTGCATCGCAAGGATTTCGGGGCTTAGGGTTTAGGGTTTAGGGCTAGGGTTTAGGGCTTGTAGGCCTAGGGCTTAGGGCTTAGTATGTTGCAGAGTTTCAGGCAGATGTTGATCGCACGGGCCTAGAGGTGAAGAACTCCGGCTTCCATGTGACACAACGTGGGCCTCTTTAGGGTTCGGGTTCAGGGTTCAGGGTTTAGGGGTTTAGCGGCTTAGGGGTTCGAACGGACACCCCATAATCATTTACACTTACCTACCATCGCAACTAACCAGGAAGATACGTGGACTCACACCAAAGCCGTATTGAGATGCCGCAATCCACAGATCACATGGCGATTGGTGACCACTCCGGATCGAGTCACAATCACCCGCACGCACACACAGATCAGAACAAACAACAAGCATGACACCATGACCTGTGCACGAAACCAACAACCCCAACTGAGCCAATGCGAGAAGACTTTGTGCATGCACAATGCACAGCTTGCTTGTATCACACTTCTTCTGCACCAGAAAGGCCAACTCTGGCTTCCCACATCGGTGGTAGCTTTCGTTGGATGCAGTCCCGCTGAGGTGCCGTGTCCCTGCTGAGACTGTGTCAAGTTTGCTCTTGGAATACGACCCCGAGTGTGGGACCCACACGCACGGCCAGAGAGATACCCTCATAGGGCTTAGGGTTTACAGGAACATCCCAGAAGTTGGAACATCACCATCCTCATGCCCAAGAGGGTTCCTAAAGGGAATCCCGGCACAAATTGTCCCTAAGCCATGTTGAAACTTTATGGCGTTTGCTGTAGGCTTAGTAGCCCAGTAACCATGTTACAATAAGGGCACCCTTTTTGGGGTTGGCTACTTTATAAGGGACCTTGAACCAAAAAAAGGGGTAAAGGGTACCACTGGGCTACCCTGTAGGGTTTTTAAGCGCACCCCAGCTGGCATCCGAAGGTCATCGAGGAGCACAAGGGGAGCCTGAGCCACATTCATCCAGGTCAGACGAAGGATGCATCGTGGCCCTGAACCTACTCATGACCCCCCTTGGGGTGGATTTGGGGAGTCCTGTAAGAAGTACATGGGTAACATCATGCAAGCATTCGGACGCACAGAACTTGTTAAAGCCAATTCCGAGTCAACCAACAGCTATCTTCTCATAGGCATGAAAAGGCGGCGCAGGAGGCACATCGGCCCAGCCGGGGAATGCGGTGCTTGGAACGGTGGGTTTAGGGTTTAGGGTTTAGGTATAGGGTTTAGGGTTTTGGGTTTAGGATTGAGGGTTTAGGTGCCTGAACCTTCCTGGAAACCGGAGACCCCACCACGACCCTGATACCCTTTGGCTTTAGCTTGGGCCGTGCGCCACCGCTATATGAATGCTTTTAGGGGATCCAGGTAAGGAGGAGTGGATCGCTGTCGTAGTCCCGGCGCAATCCTATATAATCATAATTGCATACGGAATCATATACATATATATATATATGTATGTACACATACATTACATGTATGTAAGTATTTCTTGGTTTATGTATTTAGAAGCCCGTGTATCGGTACAAAAGCTCACTCCACCAATCCCTCTGAAGCAGCAGGAAGCAAAACTCCAGCTCAGGGGTGCGGCCAATAGTCTGATCCCGCCGCCACAAATCCAGACCTGGTCTTGCGAACGCAGGGGCTGTAATACCACGTCATTTTTCATAGCGGTTAGGGTTTAGGGTCTAGGGCTTGGGGTTTAGGGTTTAGGGTCCCTTTTTCACATCCCTCAAGATGCAGCAGGTATCCTACCATGATTCAAGAAATATTCCCAAGGTGTACAAGGGACCCTAAGATGATTGTTTTGAACTCTCAAACAACACGCCTTGAAGACACGGACTTAGGGACCCAAGGTTTAGGGCTTGGGGTTTAGGGTTTAGGGTTCAAAAACACCTTCAACTGCAAGAGTGCCCAGTGGCACCAGGAAACTGTGGTGGGTTTGGGTGTTGGTGGTGCTTCCGTGTTTCAGGGCTTTGGTGGTTTGGGGGTTTAGGTTTTAGGGTGTAGGGTTTTATGGGCTACTTGAGGCTTCTAGGGGCTTTTGGCTGCTAAGTCTTTCGGATCGTTGAGATTTCCAGACGCGTCGCGGACAGAGCTTCAAAGCAGATTTCCTATTTAGGGTCATGACACCGTGGACCCAGTAGGAGAATGCCCCAACGCCTACACCCTGCTGCCCAAAAGGTCATAAACAAGTTCCCAGATGAGTGCCTTTTAACTCGGTTTAGGGTTTAGGGCTTAGGGCTTAGGGTTTAGGGTTTAGGGTCATAAACGAAAAGAGCCTGACCCCCACGAAAATAGGAAGGAAGCCCTTCAAGCAGTACTAGCATTAAACTCATCGCAGCGGTATACAGGGGCACGGAGGGTTGCGTAAGGGCTTGCGGGGTATCCCCCCCGAATAGCGATGCCCCACTCTGTTTATATAGGAACCCTTAGGAGGGCCTAGGCCTTAGCCAAGGGTCACAAATTACTCCAGAACCCCTTAAACAAAGGCTAGGGACCACATGAAGGCACCATGACCTAAACGCTTCTTTTCCCCTAAACTCTCAACCCTAAGCCCTAAACCCGGCCCCCACACCCTGAACCCTAAACCCTGAACCCTAAACCCTAGACCCTCACCCTTCCGAATTTTTTGGAAACGCGTATCTGAGGGCATGTGGTGCCCCCTCACAGCGCCGTCGACCGCAAGCCTTGAACCTAGGGGAGCCCCGCAACCGGCACGCCCTGCGCTCACGCCCACCCCTAAACCCCTTTACCCTAAACCCTAAAACCCTAAAACTTCTAAAACCCTCACACCCTAAACCCCAAATAAAACCCCCAAACCCTAAACCCGAAACCCGAAAACTTGGCAGTCTCCCCAGGAAGCTGAGGCGTCGCACTTTCGCTTTGTCAGGGCCCAGTGTGTGCTAAGATTGTGCTCCTGGGCGCAGGGCTTCTAGGGTTTAGGTTTAAGGTTTAGGATTTAGGGTTTGGGGTTTAGGATTAGGGTTTAAGGCTTAGGGTTTAGGGTTCCCCGATCATGGGTTTATAAGCTAGATGCTGGGGCTTTACGTAGGCCTGGTGTAGCCCTTCCGAGGCTTCATTCGGGATTTCCGGGTCCTGGGGAGGGTTCGTACTTGGAGGCTCATGGGTTAGTCCTTTGTATGCCGGGAGGAGAGTTACAAGTGCATTTCCCATACTTTTAACCCTTCTTATGACTTGCAGTGAACCTCCAAGTAGGCTTTTCAGGGTACGGGTTGCATTCTGGCTGTGTGAGTTGCAAGACCTGAACGCCTCTCGAACCCCAAACCCTAAACCCTAAACCCTAAGCCCTAAACCCTAAACCCTAAACCCTGAATCGCTCGTCTGGGGTCCTGGCCTGCACGTAGCCCAAGACACCCTCCTGCCATTGTTGGGGGTTGCTTAGGGTTTAGACTTTTCGGTTTCAGGGTTTGGCTTGATTTTGCTATAGTTTCGCTTTTGCAGTTTAGGGTTTATGTAGAGTTTAGGGTTTAGGCCTTGTAGAGACCCTAGGAATCCTTAGGCTTTCAGGGTGTATGTGCAGCTTTCTACGGAGATGTCAGGGCACAGCCTGACTGCTTGCTTGCTCCCCTTAATCCATCCAGTAGCTCCTCTAAGTTCAGGTCCCTTGCTGGTGCCCCTTGCCTTACGGCCCTCGCCAAAAACGGACCTGAGCTTAGTGACCATTTAAGCAAGTATTGCGGCTAATCTGAAGCATAGGACCCTCAAGGGTTCTTGCGAGAATAGGCACACCAAAAGGGGTCTTGTGCCTTGGGCTGGGATTGGGGGCTTAGCATTTAGGGTTCAGAGTTTGGCTTCTTGGGTCTGTAGTCTAAGATGTGTATACTGGTGTTCATCTTGGTATTTACTTGGGCTCCTGTATTTACTTGTGAGAGGTCGGTCAAGGTACGGGGGTTCGACCTACGTAACCTTGAAACAGAAACTCGAAATCCTACGCCCTAAACCCTGAACCCTAAACCGTACCCTGAACCCCAAAGCCTAAACCCAAATCCTAAACCCGAAGCCGCAACCGCACATCTGAAGCCAGAGGGCTCCCCTCTCCCGCAGACTGGGTTCGGGTTTCAGGCTTTCGCAGGGCTTGGGGTTGAAGATGATGGTCCAGGGCTTTGAGGTTTAGGGCTTAGGTTTGAGGGTTTGGGGGGGGGGTTTAAGATGATGGTCCAGTTTGAGGGTTTCGGGCTCAAGTTGGAGGGTTTGGGACTTTTTAAGAGGTGCTAGACATAGGGTTTGGGGGTTTGGGGCTTGGAGGGACTGAGGGCTTCAGGGTTTTCAGGTGTACCAGGGGCACAGAGCCTGCCACGAGCCCCTCAAGTTAAGGGGTTGCAGAAGGGACCCCTAGAAGGGACCCTTAATCTTATTCCCTTATCTAACCCTAAGCCTATATGTACGTTATATAGCCCCTCTATACCTAAGTAGGCCCCTAAATAACTCCTTAAAGAAGCGTGAGGTCCCTTATAAGGGAACCCTCCTTTAGTCCCCCGCGACTCAAGCCTTCGAACAGGTGATGTTGTAGACGGGCGGCAGGTTTTCCAAGTCTAAGTGCGGCGGCAGAAGCCTGCCGGGTCAAGAGGCCACCCAGGATTTTGGGGGCGGAGGGTGGAGACGGCTTTGGGCCCTTGAGGCACCCGAAACCCTAAACCCTAAACCCTAAGCCCTAAGCCCTGCAGCCCCAAAGACCCTACAACCCTAAAACTCGCTACCCTCTCGATATTGTGGTGGCCCTTGTCAAGAAGATTGCCGAGGGTTTAGGGTTTAGGCTTTAGGGCCCGAAACCCTAGGGCTTGGGGTTTCACCCAGCAAGGTTCCCCCTTAGCCAAGCGTAACTAAGAAGGAACCTTGGCGGGGGGGGGGGGGGGGGGGAATGGGCTTGGAAGGCTGATAGGGTTTACAAAATTTCTGGCTTTTAGAGGAGGGGCTTCTAGGGGCTTCTAGGGGACCTTCGACTAGACCCAGGAGCAGCCTAAAAGGGCGCCCTTGTTCGTTTTCAGGGGGTTAGAAGGGAACCCCAACCGGAAAAAGGAAATAAGGGCCTACTCCGGGACCTAGTAACCCTAAACCCAAAACCCTGAACCCTAAACCCAAAACCCTAAACCCTAAACCCTAAAACAAAGGGAGTCTACGACACGCTGAGGCCGGATCCAGCACACCGTGAGCACCTCAGCAGCGCTCTGCTTGGGGAGGCAAAATGAGGCTGAGGTGGGTAGCCCCATATCTGTATCATAAAAAGGGTTCCAGTAGCTGTTTCATAATAAGGGTCTTTGTTTTTTAAGGGTACGAGTAACTGTTTCATAACAAGTCTTTATTTTTTTTTTGGGGGCGGGGGGCCCGGGGGGTTAGGGTTTAGGATCTGGGGCTTGGCGTAATGTTGTGTGTATGGTGGCTCCTGAGAGCTTATACTGACCACAGCCAACTTCAATCCACTGCAAAACATGATGCTATACTGTGCACCCTCAAAGAAGGAATTTCCAGCAGAAATCGGCCCAGTACAAGGCTTACCTAGACCCTAGGTTTGATCAGGCGGCGAAACTGTAGGGTTTACGTAGGGGTTAGGGGTTTGAGGGCACTTTAGGGTAAGTATCTCAAAAAGTGCAAGTTAGGTAAACCTTATCCCTAGCACCTTCAATGCGAAACCCTCAAACCCCGGAGCCCTGAAATTCTCCGCTTGCCACGCAGCAACCTTCGAGCTACTTAGCCCAGGACGCTGGAAACCACAGAGACAACCTGGCAAGCTTGGGATGTTGGTTCTGTTTGGATCTAAGGCTTAAGGCTTTCATACTAGAGCCTCTGCAACCTTCGTCGTGTGCAAGGTCTCTTCATGAAGCCTCTGGTTGCATCGCCTTGAACCCCCAACTGGCTTGAAAATCCCGTAAGATCATATAAAAAGCCGGCTTTCGTGAGCCCTCTGTGTTTGGCAGTTCTTGCGTGATGGTTTGTTGCAAGCCTAGAGCTCTAAACCCTAAACCCTGAACCCTAAACCCTAAACCCTCAACCCTAAACCCTAAACCCTAGCCTTCAGGCTGGCCC